TTGCAGTTAACAGGTTTGAGTTTCCCTTTCAGATTCTTCTGAGAGCGGGCAGGCAGGTCTTTGACAGGTTTGATTCTCCAGGGTTCTTCAGAGATCAGACTGACAGATTTCCAGCAGAGAAACTCTTCCAGGTTTCAGGTTTCAGGCAGGTTCAACCTGGGAAGCAGAGAGGACAAAACGGATTAGGTTCAGGTTCAGGCTTTCTGGGCGTCAGAGATTCAGACAGGCAGGTTGGCTCAGGCTTGCTAACCATAACTGGCAAAACACTCTGGCGTCGGAGTGATGTCCTCTGCCTCCTTATATACTGGTCTCCTGATGAGCAAACGAGCCGCAGGTGGTGAAGTCAGCTCCAGCTCCAGAAGACCTAGAACGCCCTCTGGTGGAGAAAAATGGACAGACCTCCAGATCCCAACACCATATAGATATGGACATTTTTACAGTAAAGGATATTTGAAAAATAGCAGCAACATCAGAGATGACAAAATGACAGCAGCAAGTTATTTAACTGAATAAGATAAAAGCTGTGCAAAATTAGCATTAATTTAACAACTTATTGTGGTTGTTGGGAACAGTGATGGTTATTGAGTCTTGCAGCTGCTGGGAGGAAGGATCTGTGATAACGCTCCCTGTTGCATTTAGGTTGCAGCAGAATAAAAGCCAAATAAAAGCAGCTAAAGAATTTCCATGTATTCATGAATTTTTTAAATAACGAAGGTCACATGAATCTAAGTTTTGCTGCACAGCATATAATGATGCCTGCTCTCCATTCATTCTGGAGGGATGAGGGACTGATTTGACTTCGAGTTATCTCATGAAGTTTTTTTGCAAAATCTCAGTTTGACCTTTGCAGTGTCTGTTAAATGCCATTCCCTAATTGCATTACAAACTGAGGGAATAGGAGCAAAAGGCCAATTATGCAAGTCTGTGGCCATGTACAAGGATAAATCTGGGCCACCATGATGTCACAGATGCTTATAGTTTAAGTTTGTCGACAAGTAACACACCTGCTACTGCTGCCTGGGATCATTTCTGGGTCTCTATATCTTGTCAGCCATTATATCAGCCATATGTGTCCATAAGGGGTTTACCAGTTCCTGCATTCATTCAAAAGATTAACAAATTTGCAAATGCACGTCATCCTACGGGAGAGGGGAGGCGTTTTCGTAGTGACACTAATTACTGAAAGCAAACACCGTCCAATATGAGTCACCTGTGCCCTCTACTTTGTCCTTCGACTGTCCCTGCATATATTTAGGCTCTACTTTCAAAGTTTGGGAGCGTTTCACCTTGAGTCGAGTCCTTCCTGGATCGTTGGTCATCCCAGCAGGAGGTACACAATAGAGTGTGAGACAGAAGTGTGATGAGTAGGAGAGTAGAGGCAAGGTGAATCTGGAGCGCTGTAAAACAGCAGGGATCCATACGGGAGCCTGACAGAGCAAAGAACAGCTGATTTGTCAAAGTGAGCTTCTGTTGCCCGGCCTGATTGTTCAGAGTGCTGCAGAGTTTTTTTTTTGTTTTCTTACTTTGATTGACAGAAACACTTTTATTTTTAAATCTACATTTTTTTTCAGTGGGAAAAGGTTTTTTTTTTTTTTAGCTAAAAATGACAGCTTGAGAAAATCCCAGTTATGTTTGACTGATGTGCTCTAACCAAACAAAAAAAGACAAGCAGACAGAAATAGATATCTACGGGGCTTTTTCCGCTGCATCCAGTTATTTTATTTACAGAAGGACAGAGAGAGAAAGGGCTCTGGTCACGCTGGGTTTCTCTCTTTGACCTGGAGGCAGAGTATATTCGGCGTTTTGACAAATTGAGAAATCAGTTTTTCTCCATAGTGGCTCTTCTCCTAAGAGCAAAATGGCTAATCTTTTAGCAAAGAGGGGTAAAGATGAAGCAAGGATCTGCAGTCTATTTATTTCTTTCATTAGTTGCTTGTTTGTGTTTGCAACAGGCAGAAAAGGATGAAAAGTGGAAGGAATGAACCAGTAGCTGCTGATTTCAGTCTGCATCCCAGTCATGTATTCTCTGCATACGTCAAAATGTTTTTTTCCGAATCTACAGAAAATGGATTTTGATTATATTCTTTGAGATCTAAATTTACTTCCATGAATCTTGGCCTCAGGGCTTTGGAAGCGGCATCATTTACTCTGTTGTCGTTGCCAAAAGCAAACTGGCTCTTGACTTCTCTGAGCCAATTGGAGATTTTCAGCTAAAATTAAACTCGATGGGAAACAAAGGCAGTGGCTTTCATAGCTTAGTTAGCAAGAAATATTCATTCTTTATTTTAATACAATTTTGCTTAAATCCATCCCGGCTGCACCATTTATTCTCTTTTGTTTACCAACATCAAACAGGCTTCAAATTAATTCTAGAAGTTCGGGGCTTTTACAGCAAAAAATGTTGTATGTTTTAATAGATGCCAAAATTCACAATAGTGGTTAAATTGGCGACGGAGACCAGTTTTTATGATTTTTTTCATGCACCTTTATTATGATAAATATTTACATTTTCGTCTTTAACTCTCACTATTTCCATATTTTTAGTATATTTACTGTTGCATTAAGTACTTTGACTACTTTATTTTTAAAGTTCATTATATTTTCTATTTGGTTTTATAAATATTGTTATAATTATCATTATTATGTCCAAATCCATGGCTTCAAACTTTCACAACCTCTTAATGTGAACAGGTTGGTCTGACCCAGCTCATGATAGTTCCTTCTTATTATATGTGATCTTTTGCAAGAGAAATATTACGTTCCTTATGTAGAAGATCAGGCCCAAACTCTTTGATACCATGTATTCAACCGTGGGTGGAAAATAATCTGTTGCTACGCTTTGCAAAGATTTAGGAACAAAAAATAGATAATTTTTTCATTGGCTCATTTTTATAATCACTACTGAAAGGAATGATTTGAAATTGTTTAATCTTTGTTTATAAAGCATCTTTTAGACGTTCATCTCCAACAGAGTCACAAATTAAATTCACAAAATAAGCAATTTCTGTAACTATGAAGGGCACCCCATTGTGTTGTAATAAAAATACTGAAAATGGCTTAGTGAGCATTCCTCCCATTTGATGACATTGGCAACATTAACAGATCTGGTTCAACAGTTCAGCGGAGGAGGAGGGGTGCGCTGAGCGAATCGCTCAAGCTCAGGTATAAAACGGTGAGTCTCATCCGTATGTGGAGCGTGTGATTGCTACCTCTTCTTGGTCGCCTGAGAGCACAGAAGCGGAGTGGAGGACTGTGTGCAGACCACTGGGGCATGAAGCAGCAGTTAGGCACAAATGCTGCAGTTGTGCTGCAGCCTGCAGCTGCTTCCTCTGAGAGGCGAGAGCACAAAGGGCCTTCGATGAAGTGTCTCTGTGGGACTGGTACACCAGAACACCCCTGGCTCTTCTGCCAAATGCTTCCACACAATCATCCCTTAGATATAACATCACTACATTGGTGTACCTCTGAGGCACTTTGCTCCACTTTTTTGGCCAGGGTATGTAGAGGACTAACCTTTTTATTACATTTTAGGACTCCTAATGCAGTTTTTAGAAGGAAATGGAGGAGTGGGAATTGTCTTTGTCAGAGCTAGTAATGTGATTAGGAGGCCTGCTTACGGTAAGTGTTGAACATTGTACTCATGCAGCTGAGTGAAAGGCAGCTCTGCTGGTAATGAAGTGGCCCCTGCACTCCACTCAGGTTGCGATGAATTAGTTCACAGGGCCACATGAGGTGGATTGAAAGGAAACTAGCACTGTGTTTGCCTGTTTAAATGTTTAATCACCAAACTGGAACCAGTAGTAAACTGGGGCAGTGATCAGGTTTTCTTGAGCCACAATACAGTTAAAGAAACCTTAGAATGAGTTGGTGGAAAAGTTCATCCTGTCTTATATAATCCTCTGCATTGTTGGCCAAGAGTAGCGGACTCCCGTTCCCAGAACATCCTTCCTATTTACAGATTTCTGATTTTATAATAAGAACACAAAGCTGTGAAGGATTGGATCTTCTTTTAGATTCCGTCCCTTCACTATATTTATCTCCTTCCTCCTACCTGATCTTTACTCTCTAAACTCCTGAATAAAACTTTCTTATCCATGTTTTCCCATCCACATTCACTTCCATAGCGCATCGTTATTTCAATTTTTTCCACCAGAGGTACCCAGTGAGTGGCAGACACATTTACAACACTTCTTAGGAGCTTTGAAACTGCTTTAAAGCAGCGCTGCTGTGAAATTGGCTGCAGGGAAAGAAGAGGAACAAAAGCAAAGCTTTTAGCTTTGAATGATGGGATGAAAAAATGCTATCTGCAGAATGGACTGTGCTGATTTGGTGCCTATTAGTATTGTGTGCGTGCATGCTGTGCATGATTGGATGATTATATTTAATTGGGTGTGTAGGAAAGGTGCATGAAGAGACGGAGATGGTTTGAAATATCATTAGCGGGATGTGTGTCATTTGTTTTAGTTTAGCTATTGTTGAAACAGTAGCCGCGATGAAAACAATCACGTCTGAGTTCACTTTAAGCATTCTGATAATATTTCTCTGCTTCAATAATTTATGCTTAAAACAAGTGGGGGAAGAGTTAAAACCGAGCAGCTCCTCTTTTGTTGCTTCCCCTGTTTCTACAGCGATCACGGTAACTACATATGTAGGTGGTCTTCTTGCAAGCATGTATTAAGTTGTCGGCTTTGGATTTGTTGCCATTTGTTCGTCTTTCTGCCTATTGATTTTTCCATAGCTGCTTGCCAGTAAGTGCTGTCTGAGATCTGCTAGATGTAAAAGCTGAGGGGAGTCATCTTTCTGCAGCAGGAAGTCTGATACATTTCCTGAAAGTTCCCCTCATATTGATGCTTACCCCAGATCGATTGCATTAATGCTGAGGGTCTCTCATGTCAGACCATTGTGCTTAAAAAATAAAACTCCTACCACTGCTTTATAAATAGGAAAACTTTCTTTCGTCGTCACAGTCTGACTTTATTCTTATCACTGTTGTTCACCAGTGTGCCACAGAATGTTAAGGCGAGCCTGTCCCTATCTCCATCCGGACCGGGGCGGGCAGGCAGCGGTGGGGGGTCCCCGACATCTAAAACCAGCTGCTGTGGTGGGGTCCCGGTGGAGGACATGCAGGCACTGGCCATCACCTCGCTATCTGCAGCTGATGTAGCCAAACAGTATGAGCACATCAGAGAGCTGGGGAAGGGCACGTACGGCAAGGTGGACCTGGTGGCACACAGGACACACGGTGAGTCCGCTTGAAATGCAAAAGATATGCGATCCACCTATATTCTTAGTCAGAATCACTCATTTGGAGATCTACGACACGCTGTAATTGTCCGATGTACCATTTTATGCATAACACGGTGCCTTGAAAAAATAGATTTATCTAAAAATGTCCTTATCTTCTGATTTTACAACCACAAACTTTCTTCCCGGCCAGTAAGTGGAGCAGTCCTGCTTGCCGTTCTCATTCCATACTGTTTACCAGCAAGTTGCCAGATCAGTTAATGCTAATTAGCAAACATTTAACCTACTTGATCAGAAGAAAAATGGCAGTCAGAAACCTAAGTGTGAATTTTAAGCTCCTTTTGCTTCTTTAAGTTAACACCAGACTCGGACTGGGAATGATTTTCTGCCCTGGCATTTTTCCATCTATTACAGTGCCGCCATAAACCGCCTGGATTTGCAAAATCTTGCCTAGTTAGTACCAAAGTCTATTGATTTCTAAGGCCATAAATGTAAAGAAAAACATTCTTTATCTTAAACTAGCGCGGAAGATGGGAAACGTTAGCGTATAGATGCAAAACCCCATCATGCACCGCAACAAATTTTTGCAAAATATTCCAACATAATTTCACTGTTGGGAAGTGTTGGGGCCGATATGATTTAAGGAGGGCCGGCCCTCGCACGCTGAAAGTTTGACCGGCTGGTATCACAGATTACCAGTCCGAGCCTGGTTAACACCAATGCTTAAAAACCCTAACTTTGCTTCTACTTTGTTTATTTTTTGGCTTGAATTTTAGAAATATAACGCAGTAAAAAGCCCTTTCTCAAGGCCATCACAGAGACGTTAGGATCTGGCAACTCCTGAACTTCAAGCCACTTATCTTATTGGTGCAGAATCATTTCATGCTTATGTTGGCATCACAACCAGATGTAAATATTTCTATATTTTGGAAATGTCAGCATTTTTAAATCAATTATTAATTATCTATATATCTTTAGCAAAATTAGTACTTCTACTCCTTTTATTCTGTACCACTTTAGATGTTCTCTCAATGTATTTTAATACTTAATTGTTTTAATAAAAAGGTTTTAGCTATGAGCATTAAAGTATCGTAGGTAGATTTTGCATAATAGACCAACACAAAGTCGTTTCTTTCATGGGAAGTTTCCTTAGAGGATGAAATCTGTCCAATTTCACTCAGATTAAGTGGCGACTGTGAAAAAACATTTTCTAAACGTTCTAGTAGTTCTCCAAGAAAATAAGGCTATATTTAGTAGCAACATGTTGACTTCAAAGATCCAACAGGCTCTCTTTTTTTCAGGCACCAAAATCGCGCTGAAGTTTGTCACCAAGAGCAAGACGAAGCTGAAAAGCTTTCTGCGGGAGTACAGTTTAACCGGCTCTCTCAACTGCAGCCCTTTCATCATCAAAGTCCTGGACGTGCTGTTTGAGACGGAGGACAGCTATGTTTTTGGACAGGAATATGCCCCCTCCGGGGACCTTTTTGACATCATTCCGCCGCAGGTACATATGTATGATGTCAAGAACAAAAACTGAATTTTCTCTTGTTTCAAGTAGATCTTTCCATAACATAACATGCTAAATATTATTTTCACAATATGCTGCATAAAAAAAAACAAAGGAAAAAAACCTAAACAAAAAAACATAAACTCTTGTTTTTTATCGACTACCATCAAGTGTTTGTGACAACAATGAGTGTTTATTATTTCTGCTGAGTCATGTTACAGTCAGTTTTCAACAGTTTTCATTTACTTAGGTTATCTCTTTTTGAAGCTTAAATGAGATTAACGATCTTCAAGATGTGAAAGGAAAACATAAGATTAATACCAGTAGGATAAGGGTTAAAGTTTTTTCTTTGGTGTCTCCTGCAGGTGGGTCTGCCAGAGGAGATGGTGAAACGCTGCATGCAGCAGCTCGGTTTGGCTCTGGATTTCATGCACAGTAAAAACCTGGTTCATCGGGATGTCAAACCCGAGAACGTGCTTCTTTTTGACCGCGAGTGTCGGCGCATCAAGCTGGCTGATTTCGGCATGACCCGACGTGTGGGTTGCCGTGTGAAACGGGTAAGCGGAACCATCCCCTACACGGCACCAGAGGTTTGTCGCGCTAACCGTGCCGAAGGCTTCCTGGTTACCACCAGTATGGATGTGTGGGCGTTTGGAGTGCTGGTCTTCTGCATGCTCACGGGCAATTTCCCCTGGGAGGCGGCAATGCAGGCCGACGCCTTCTACGAGGAGTTCCGGCGCTGGCAGAAGGCAGGCTGTCCTGTGGGAACGTACCCTTCTCAGTGGCGCCGCTTCACCGACGACGCCCTACGCATGTTTCAGAGGCTGCTGGCTGCTGAACCAGAAAAACGCTGCGGGGTCAAGGACGTCTTTTGCTTTATCAAGTACGAGCTTGTCAGCGAACTGAGGCGCCGAGCATCATACAGAGCGAAAAGAGGAGAGAGGTCAAGCTCTGGAGTCTGTACGGGCAGCTGCACGTCGTCCTCGTCATCCACACGCTCCTCCCTCAGACATCAGGAGCCCTCCACCCCTCCAGGAACCTCCTGTCTCCGCCCAGCACCACTTAAACGTAGCGTCCTCTCCGACCCACTCTCTCCCAGAGATGAGTCGGGACAGCACCAGACTGTGGGCCGAGACAAGAACAAAAGCCAGATGGTCATGGCGACAGCCATAGAAATCTGCGTTTGAACATTCTGATGTGAGAGCTGAGAAGCAGATGGCTTCTTATAGTTGTATAAAGCTGAGAAAAGGCGTTAATGACTTCCACAGAGACACGGTGAAACAAAAGAGGTACTCAAACCTTAAAAGAGAAGCTCAGGGTCCAGTACCATTCTGTTAAATGGACACCATCAATCAGCGGTACACATTTGGACAGCCTGTCAATGAAAGTCAATTCCACTTAGGGGTTGATTTGTGACCAAAGACTGCTTCCCGAGCAGAGAAGCCTTGCAGACGGCGTTTAGCAGGCCACTGATGCTCCTCAATGCTCCACATCACCCATTACCCCCCAAAACAATCTGTGCTGGTGCTAATTACTCTAAATTTAGATTCCCTCCATGTTGCAGAACTTCAATGTTTACTTAGCTAAAGTTACATAGTGTGGTAATCACCACACTTAATAAACCATTTCACATTTTTCACGTTGTAGCCACAAACTTCAATGTATTTTAATGGGATTTGATGTGATTGATCATACGAAGTTAGTAAAAAAAAAAGTAAACTGAAAGCAATCTACTGCTTTTCGGGATTGCTTTTCTTTCGTTTCTTTTTTCGAGAAGAGCATATCTCCACACTATGATGCCACCACCTCTATGTGAACTTGAGCAATCATTTCCATAAAATCTAAAAAAGAAAAAAAAAGGATTACATTGAAATATGTTGCTGTGACATGATTAACTGTGGAAGAAAATTCACAGGTTGGGAATATTTTTGCAGAGCAAAAGGAGATTTAGCTTAAATAATTGGATAGATGAGTGAGAAAGAAGCCACTAATTAGATCCTGCATTTGGCTGCATTTTCCCATTGACTTCCAGTAAAGAAAACCAGACTATTTAAGAGAAATATACAAAAGAAAAGATGAATAAAAAATAAAACCCTTAATGTAGCAGTGTGGATGAGACGTGTCTTTATGACGGTATTTAGACTCGAGAGACGGATTCTCTGTAATAAGAATCAACTCAGGACACTTCAGTGGAAAAACTTCCTGTTTAATCACTGACTCAAACACATGTGGAGGCTGGAAGTTGCATCTGGCACTTTTGAATGACTCTCAGTGGGACTCGAGTTTTTTAGTGAGATGCTAGGAAAAAAAAACAGGCTTTCTCTAAATGAACAAGAGGAGGTGGAGAAAATGAATTTAGTGTGTGAGTGTGTGTGAGTGTAAAAAGTTTCAAAAGCACAATATCTTTTCTATTTGTAAAGGTTAATTACTGTTAGAAAACACTTTGTACATAAGTCGATATTTGCAGGAGTTCATCATGTAATCAGGTAGTTCGATGTAGCTGGACTCTTTGTATGACAGTGGAGGCTTTTTCAGTTCATGGAGTCTATGTAGCAACAGAACATGATCAAATGGAATATCATAGATAGAAATAAGAAGATTCGTGACTTAGACCATTTGCTTTGTATAACTGTAGTGTCTTCCATTACTTTGATCATTTATGCTTCTTTTGTTTGAACTGCACCTTTTGTTTTTCCACACAGGTTAATGAGCACAGCTGAAACCAGATATTTACGAGGACATTGTTAATACACTTGTTTTAAATTTAGACTAAACGTTTCCTACTTTTAGGTCCATTTGAATTAACAATATTATTTCTACTTGCAAAATGTCAGATAATGAGATATTTTTCGAATATATAATTACTTTTTTGAAACTTTGGCAGAACGAGTGTAACTGGGTCAGGTTTGTAAACCGCGTCTGCTTCAAAAAAGCCTTTGCTGTTTCTACTCTCATTTTTAATGGGACCAAAATCAGAGCTGCTCTACACTGATGACAGTTGCACGCTCAGCAACATGGTCCCGTTTTGTGACCCATTTTAACGTCCGATTTCTTTAGATTTTGCTTCAGTATTTACCCTTTATCTGTCTTCATCTTACTATTATACTTCATAATCTATGAAGTAAACCAATCCCTCTTACAGCAAATAACCCCCACGGCATAATGCCACCACTGCCTTACTTCACTAGTGGGAGGGGGTTAGACTTTTCCCCTTTTAACCTCCATTTTATTTTAAACAGGGCACCTCACTTGTCTAAAAATGGTTTGTTTTTTCAAATGGTGATTTCCGTTGCCTTCAATGATGCCGTCTTTTTGTTGTCTTTCTGGCCTCTAAGCAATATTGGTTCAAATGTATTTTTGCAGTGAATAGTGATGCTCTCTCATCTGCAGCTTCAAAACCATTAGTTTACCAGAATCCACCTCCTTCCCAAACAGTATTATGGCCGTACATCCCCAGGGTTTCAATGCTTTTATCCCAATAAGGGTTTGAATGAATAAAAAATGGCAACTTCAGGGATCTAAAAGGATAAACAACAGTTAAGAAAGTCAACTATTCTCTTCCAAAAAATCTTGCCTATCTTATTATTTTGAGGTGTTGCCTTAAGACGTCTCCACATATGATCAATTCACTTAACTCAAAAGTTGTAAGCTAATCCGCCAGATTCAAACAGCCATCATATCATAATCCAGGGTTTCCCAAATACTTTAAAAGCAGAGTGACTTCAGGTAAATTTCTTAATTTAGGAGAAAAACTATGTTTCCAATCTTGCTTTTGGCCAAAAGAATGAATATTGGTTTTCATAAATGACCTGAAACTAGAAACCTCAGTATGTTTTAATTGTAAATGATGAGAATAACTTTGTCTTTTTGTAGGATGGATGTAAATATCTGGGTTCAACTCTAGATTTCTGCATTGAACTGTGACCATAATCTCCATTCCCCTTCTAATAGCTCTTATTCAACCTATTCACTTGGGTTAAGCTAATGAGGTCTTTATCTCAGCCTGACATCTTAATGGTCTGAACATGGTGTCTCTGCCGCCAGTTTGATCAGGTTGACCCTCTCGGAAGGACGATCACTGTGTCCCCTGCTGACATCGTGAAAGGAACTTATAGATGGAGAGCGTGTGAAAACAGCTTCAGCTTTCAATTCATCCAGACACTTCTAATTATAAAATGCATCTAAATGGTATAGGCTTCTCATTACCTTTATGTTTCTCACTAATGTCAGTCTGGTCTGTTTCTTGGTTCAAGCCAGGACAGCTCATCCCCTCTGTCAGTTTGTTGACACCACTGGGAGCTACCCCATCTTAAAGTCTGTCCTTATCTTGAGCATCATTCCTAATTGAACACTAATGAGTCTACTTGTTGCATGCACCCCTCCCTCCCAGCCACACTCATCTCTTCATTAGAGTTACTGAACTTATTAAAGTCTGTACGTGTTTCATGAAAGCTTGTTTTTTGTGCTTTTTCAGCAGCTTAAATTCTGTCATCATTCACTTCCTGTTCTGTCTTCATATTGTGACAGAGAATAAAACTACTATTCAATTGAATAAAAAACTTTTATTAATCCCAAAGAGAAATTACATTTAAATTAAAATTGAATTCATGTTGTCATGGAGCATGAAGCCAGAAATGAGGGTGATGCGTGTATTATTTATTTCTTAGCGGGTAATTTTTTTATAGTTAGCCATGAGGATCTAAACAGTGTTTCTCTACATGTTGCTGTTCTAATGCTGAGAAACCAATGCTGATTGAAGCGTCTCAGATCGCCTTTAAAAGGTGGTGAGAGGAAAATTTGATAATTGGGGGAATGTTTGTGCCGGGTCCAAACAGTCTGAGGTACATCTTTCCAGTAAAAAAACAAAAAAACTATAATAATCAATTGCTCTCATTTTATTTATTTATTTATTTTTTAAGTTTTGGGAAAAGTTCACAAAAAAAAAAAAAACAAACAAGAGAGAGTAAAATGCAGATCCTCTGAAGGATCTGCATTTTATCCTTTATTCCTTATCCTTTCCTTTATTCTTCCTTTATTCCTTATCCTTTATTCCTCTCGTTTAGTCCCGGAACTTTCACTATGTTTTTATTAGCATGGCAGCCATATTGTCTGTTGCTTTAGGGGCTGCTTGAGACTTTTCTTCGTCAATATTTTGACTTAAGATATTTTAGTCTGGTTACTTGCATAATGAGGCTACAGAGAGAAAAAAAATACCCAGACTCATTTTTTCAGCCTTTATTAGAAAAGCAAAAAAAACAAACTCTTGAAAATGTTAAAACTCACCAACTTTACCTGTTTTGTCTTACTCTTGTGCAACATATAAAGAAACAGCATCCAGTCCTAAAGGCATTTTAAAATCTTCATCTATTTCACCTGATGTAGAACCACATAAAACATTGCATCACATACTAAAATAAAAGGTTTCGCTTTGGGTTTTCTTTTATATGTTTCTCCTCTGCACCATTTTGTAACAGACAACTACCACTAGGTAATATGTGAACTTTTGTTTCTTCTGGACTGTTATCGCAGGAAAAGAAAAAGCTAAATAAGAATAGATGTACAATTATTTTATGATCCACTCTTCCTAGCTTTCCCTTTACGCTTGGTATTTCTGAAGGTATTTCTGCCCTCCAGTTTGTATAAAAAATGTACAGCCTGTATCCTTAAGACAAAAGAGGTATCAACGAAATGTTAATATATGTTGAAATAAATTAATGCACCAAACTCTATTGCTCCTGGGTCTTTCTGAGGCATATTTAAAAATACTGTGACTCTTTTTTTTTTTTCCATGCAAACTCTCATCTGAGCCTTGTGAAGTCCCCATCCCATTAGATGAAGGTCAGCGTGAATCACATATAATTTCCCAAGGCTTTGGCTCAGAGCCTGTTTCGCCACTGAGCCTCCAGACTGGTTTAATGGTGCCAGCTTCCATCTGAAAACAGCCCAATTAGCTCATCTGTAGATAGGAGTTATCTGCCGTCCTCGTCATCGTCAGCGCTTCCTTTTTTTGCTGCCTCTCAGCTGATGTGCCAGAAAGGAAGAGTTAGCAAAAGTTGTTATCAAGGCGAGTTTAGACAGCAGGAGAGCAAGTGCTGGTGTATATGCCACTGAGGAAGGCTAATTGGTTCAGACAGTGGCAGAGAAAGGAAAGGTCAGCCATGACACACCATGTTTGTGTAGGGAGCAGAAGATTGTCCTTTGTGATATGCCTGTTCTCTGACCTTAGCCAGCTGCAGCAGCCTGGTGGTAACAGTCAAGGTCCTGCTACAGTCAGACACCAACAAAATATGATACAGCAGGTTTCACAACTCAGGAGATTTTATTTACAGCAAATTATCTGAACAGATTTTCACCAGCGGTTTGCCATTTCCACAGCTTTCTGTCAGGTTACACCGAGAGCCTTTAACAGAAGAATCATTTTTATCTGACTGGGCTGAACTGACCCGGTAAGGTCCAACACTGCTGCTGGATTATTTCTTAGCTGCAGCTTTTAAAAGACAGCCAGCTAAACCTAATTGCTTCCCAGCGCTGGAGAAAGCTGGACGTTAAGCCTACAGTTGATGGTCCATGAGAGTGAACAGCAAGGGAAGCGATCTCTCTGGATCAGCTGTCTCCCTGAGATCAAGTGTTAAGTCCTCTGAGCAGCTGCTGATGAGGGTAACATGAGGTGACTGGGAGGCCGTTCAATGTCC